CCCACATCCTATTGGAGTTTTGTACTAGGCTTTGCAATGGTAGCAGCCTCCCCTCTCTGACAAAACCAAAAGTTCCCCAAACAACAGATGCAGTGGTCCACTAAGTGTGAGGAAGCATTTCAGACCCTTAGCCCAGGAACCAGTCCTCATGTACCGAAACTTCTCAAGGGACTTCACATTGCAAGCAGATGCCTCAGAAATGGGACTGGAAGCTGTCCTATTGCTAGGAAATCAATGGGAAATCAACCCCATTTTATAGCTAAGCCATAAATTGTTCCACAGGGAGACATTATTTGACAATTGAAAAGGAGGCCTTGGAGGTAATATGGGGGTGTTATGCCACGATCTGCTCGGCAGCTCCTTCACACTGATGACTGATGATGCACCCTCCAATGGCTGCAGGGTGTGAAGGACACAAACCCCAGGATGATGCGTTGGGACCACTTCCCCAACCATATGATTTCTGTATCTGTCATTGAGCAGAGAAGGCTCACGTCAGCATGGACTTCTCCAGCCTGGGAAAGAGGTGAGGGAGACAGACCACCCACCGAGGTCCCTCCTAAGGAGTACGTGCATGGCACATACACTGCACTGGACAAGAGGGGGTTAACTCCTGACTGTGGGCAGAAGTCCTTCCCCTTAGGCCATACTAGGTATGTACCAATTGCTGCCTCAGTGTAAAAGAGAGCAGCCCAGCTCATTCTAGGCTGACTGCTGGAGGGGAAGGACCTTTGGTGGAGGCTCCAGCTGAAGAATCATCTCAGCCTTTGTTTGCAGCAGCTGGAGACCCTAAGAACCGGACTGGAGGGCACTGGCCAATGGAGCCTAGGGAATAACCCACACAGAGGAGCTGGGAGACCCCAGTGCCCCATGGGCTGCAACTCCTGGAAGCATGGTAAGAAGTGACCCAGGGAGGGCATACGAGGGGTATCTCCCACCCTTGTGTGGTCAGCATCTTTCCATGGGATTCCGCACTGACCCAGTGATAGACCACTCTGCTGCTGTTTTGGTCTAGGGCCAGGGCCCAGTGGAGTGGGTTAGGCTAGGCTCCCATACCTGGGCCACCATCCCTCTCTCCCTGGTGGAGGTGCTCTCCTCCCTCCTGGGTACTGGCCATTGGGCCACACTGCCCTGCATCTAAGGGCTGGTATCTGAGCAGACACTGAGTCAAACTGCCCTCTGGCTATTGGTATAGGCTCCAGCTAAGAAGTACAGGGCAGTGTGACCCAATGGCTACGTCTACACTGGCATGAATTTCCGAAAATGCTTTTAACAGAAAAGTTTTCCGTTAAAAGCATTTTCAGAAAAGCGCGTCTAGATTGGCAGGATGCTTTTCTGCAAAAGCACTTTTTGTGGAAAAGCGTCCGTGGACAATCTAGACGCGCTTTCCCGCAAAAAAGCCCCGATTGCCATTTTCGCGAGAAGACCCTCTATTCCCACTCCCCAGCCCCCAGGTACTGACTATTGAGCTGCATTGCCCTGCATCCAGGGGATACTATATTGACTCTAGCCATTGTGATACACTGCCCTATACACAGGGGCAATTATATTAGTTTTAGCTATTGGCTTGCACCAGCCCTGTACTTGAGAGTGATTATACCGACTCTGTCCACTAGGCCATACTGCCCTACATCTAAGGGCTGTTATATAAACTCCACCACTAAGTCACACTGTCTTGAACATAAGGGCTGCTATACTTTACTCTGGCCAATGAGCCACAGACTGCCGTGACCCCAAGGGCTGCATCGCATTCAGCCTGAAGACTTTCAGGGAAACTGTAACTGCTGGTGATAACACAACCCTGCCCTGCCCCCAAAGAGGCATGGGGTGTACATACCCTGCAACCAGAGTTGCCTGTAAGCTGAGTGCTTGGGTGGCCACTCAGGAGACATTCAAATGCTGCCCAGCTGATTAGCAGAGTGCTCACAGCAAGCAGCATGTATTTCTGCTGATGGTTCTCATCTGTAAATGCTTCAGTGCACATCATAAAATTTATTCCGCACATGGCTGGAAAAAATTAGAGGGAACACTGCCCGTAACACCAAGTTATTAGGGAATAATTTTGTCTTGCTCCTAGCATCTGTGGGAAATCAGGCCCTTAGTTCAAAAACTCACTACAACAAAGGAATTTTTATTCTCATTTTAAACATGGGTGGTGGTGGTGGGGGAATGACAGCCTATGAAATCAGCATTCTCAAGCCCCCACACAAGAATTCAAAAAGTTATGCATATGAATGCGCAAGTACAGTTATAACACTCACTGCTGCACCCAAGCATACCTTGCAGGCAGAAAAACCAAACATGGTCAGGTGAAAACAGAAAAACAAGTATAAGGGAGATGTTATCGTCCAGAGACATTTCCTATAACGTTAGATACTGTAACTGGACTCAATTAAAATATAAGAACATTTCCATCACGTGTTTTCTCTACATTAACCATCTAACAATGGTAATAGCTAAACCATTTAAAAAAATCAACTCACAACATGTTTTATGCCCTTCATTCTTTATTACTTTGAAGACAGGTTTGAAACCCTTTCAGAATCAGTCTCCATCGACTTCAGGGCCAGCAGGTACTATTATTATTATCTAGTTTGATCTCAATAACCATTGAATTTCACTCCTTAATTTCTTTATCAAAATCCGTACAGAACTGATGCAGTGGTTTAAGACTCAATGCCAGACCACCTGCATAGCAGGCACGAATTCTGTCACTGAACCATCTGTGCTGCAAAAAGTCTGAGCAGCAAATCTGCCTTAAAGTGTCATGAAGCAACCCAGCAGGGTTTTGCTTAGCTCAGGGGTGGGCAATAATTTTTGATGGGGGGGGGGGGCAACTCTAAGATTCTGGAAAGTGGTCGAGGGCTGCACTCTTCCATGATATTAATGGAGGTGCGGGGTCTGGAATGGAGGCTGAGTGGAGAAGGGAGCTTGGGGTAAGGAACTGAGGTGCAGGAGGGAGACTGGAGTCTGGGAGGGAGTTGGGATGAAGCAGTGGGTTGTGGTATGGGATGGAAATTGGGTACAGAAGGGAGCTTGAGTGAAGGAACTGGAGCACAGGAGGGAGAATGGGATCTGGAAGGGAGTTTGGATGAAGGAGGAAGTTGTGACCTAGGGCAGGGAACGTGGATGCAGGATTTTGGGATGTGACCTAGGGTAGGAGAAGATTGTGAGCTGGGGCAGGAGACTGGGGTGCCAGATCTGGGAGGGGGTATGGGTGTAAGAGGGGAACAGAGGGTTTGCGTATATTGAGTGGGGGGGAGCAGAGAGTTGGGGCAGGACAGGGCTGGGATGCCAGAAGCAGGCTGTGGCCAAGAGGCTTACTTGTCAGTTGCCAAACTAGCCTGCCTGCCAAGCTTAAATGTTTCCCAGCCTGCTTTCCTGCCCATGTGCTTTATGAATAACTGGGGGAGGGGCGAAGAGGGAGGGCATGATTCTTCTTAGCTGCCTGTTATTCTAACAAGTAGCTCCCATTGGCCGGTTTCTGCCAGAAACCGGCCAATGGGAATGTGCTGGGGGGAGGGAGAGCTCCTAAAACTTCCCCCTCCAGTTTCAAAACAGAAACGGAGCCGCGTTTCTGCATGTAGGGCACAGCGGGCTGCAGGGCAACCTGGGAAACCTGGCTGGGGTTCCCCGCTGCCTCCTGGGGCTGGATCCAGTGGCTTGGCGGCCGTATGCGGCCCGCAGGCTGCATTCTTCCCAGGCCTGGCTTAGTTTATGGTTTTGCAACAAACCCTAAGCTCAGACTAAGCTCATCCATTGATTTGTCTAGTGCTTGCAAACTGTTCCATCAAGCTGGGCCACATTTTGATCAGACCGTATCCATGTAAGCCTGGTCAGCATTGGAAATGGTGCCTGGCAGTGTTCTGAGTGTTCTCAACTCTTTCAGCTGTTTGTAATAAGCAGTCTTTTCCCATTTCTTATGACAGGATATGGTGCCATCCTGTGGTCAATGCTTTCACCTGTTTGATATTTTATCTCCTCCCTTCTCTTTTCTGTTTTATTATTAAACCTTTTCTCTCCCTCCTCCTTTGACATTAAGGTAATATGTTATTAAGTTTAATCATCCATTCCTGCAGGCTTCTATTTAATGTGAGCGTGTCTCAGGCTGGCTTGTGTTACTTCAAAAAGAAAAATACTACTAAAAATAGCTGTGAGAAACCCATGTTGCTCTCAGTGTTGTATTCGTGAGAAGCACTGGAAAGAATAAAGCATAATAACATAGGATTTCAAATACACATTGATTAGCACTTTTACTAATGTTGTAATACAAGGAAATTCAACCACCAGAGTCTGTTCTCTAAGCTTGGTCTTCTCCCATAGGTCTACTCTAGCAAAGCACAAACATTTATTTAATTTTGTCTTAAATATTTTTGCTGGATTGAATCCTTCCTCCACAATGTCTCCAACTCTAAAAATGATAAGCAATCTCAGTGGACCTGTGTCATAGCCCAGAGCGCCTATTCCACATGAGTTTGTTTGTTTTAAATTAAACAATATTGTCCATACACTAAAAGGCTTAAAGCTTTACTATCTCTTCTTTCCTCTAGAAGATTTCCTATCATGCACTACTTTCTAGCAGCACTGTTGGCTCCAGGAATGTGCCTTCCATTAATATGTGTGATCCATTTCTTCTCACTTCTTCATGCACTTATTCTTATTCAGACATGTAATTCCACTAATTTCATTAGGATCACTCACCTAGGGTATGTCTACACTACTCCTCGTGAAACGAGGAGTAACGGTAGTTCGGAATAGGAAGCCTAGTCCGAACTACCTAGTCCGTGCCACGTGTAGCCGCGCGGCACGGAGTCCGCACTAGCAGACATTTAAAAATGGCGGCGCCCGGCAAGACGCAAATGAAGCCCGGGAAATTCAAATCCCGGGCTTCATTTGCAACTCCGGTTGCTTACATTACCACCCTAGTTCGAACTAGGGTGGTAGTGTAGACATACCCCTACTCAGCATGAAGAAGGGTGACATAGGTCCTGAATTGATGTTGTGCATTAAAAGGAACCTCAAGGCACAGTGAACAGATGTAATCATATTGCAGGTCTCAAACAGTCTTGCTTGGCTTGTATTTCTTAGCTCAGGAAATTATGTTCTCTCATGCACTGGGCCTGAGACATGTTCATATGGCATTTCTGACACAGCTATTCATATTTTATGCACAAACAATCAACCAATACACATCTACTCGATGAAATGGATGAAATGGAATAGCTAGATACATTTATTGCATTTTATAAATTATTTTATGTGATATAAATTCTTGATCCAGCTAGGTGCATGACTGTTTTTGTTATTTATTTTAATCTCTATTTCATTTTTTTATACAAAATATGTCCCTAAAAATAAAGAGTTAAAGAATGATCACCTTCATTTGCTCTCTGCAATGCCATGTGTCAGAGTGAATCACATGTTAATGTGTAAGCTGCTGGAAAGTGCAATTTTTGGTGCCCTCCTGCAGCTTCCAGCTTTAAGTTAATATTTACGCCAGTGTTTCTCAACCAAGTACTGGTCTTCTTTGTCCTGTCCTAGAATAGAACTGAGAGAATATAGAGGATGGGAGCAACCCAATCCAGCTCTCATTGGCTGACTGGCACTACAGGAATGGCCCGTTACTGAGCTTTGGAGGGTGAAAAAAGGAGACATTGAGAAATCTTACTGGGCAAACAAATGTGAGGGTTTTATTAGGATGTGGGAGTAAGACTAATCCCAGCCACATGGATCCACGATGAGAATGATTATGGAGACATTCTTCCTCTGGTAAAGATGGGCATACTCAGACGTAGGCACAGCAGGCAGCAAGCATGTCCAGCTAGCTCATCTTTTGCTGGGACTTTATCTTGTGCTCACTGAAGCCAACAGTAAAGTTCCCATTGACTTAATGGTTCAGGATCAAGGGTCTAATTTCTAAGTCTTCTGTGTGCCTCTGCTTTGTGCTGGGAAGGGAAGGGAAGGGAAGGGAAGGGAAGTGTATTGACCTGCTCCTTTCTTTCCAAAATGTTAGCAAGTGAAACCAAAGCGTGGCTGTTGAAGGCACAGGTGCCATGCAGGGAAGAACAATTCACATATTCAGCTGAGAGCAAATCTTCCCTTGACCTTCCATTTTCATTCATGCATGTTCCATTTTACACAGAATAGTCAAAAATGACATATAATTTAGCAGTGTTGTCTTCAAGTCGTCATTGTCAAGTCCAAGTCGAGTCTCAAGTCACTACAGTTCAAGTCTCAAGTCGCGTCTCGAGTCCCTAAAGTCACTTTTGAGTCAAGTCTCAAGTCAAGTCCCAAGTCTTAATTAAAAAATGTCAAGTCACTTTTGTACAAGCCATCAATATCGGCATTTTCAGACAATTTTTTCACCAAGTCGATTTAACAAAATTAGCAAATCTCAAGTCAAGTCTCAAGTCACAATGAACCTGAGTCGAGTCTCAAGTTGAGTCACTTAGGCTACTTAAGTCGGACTCGAGTTCAAGTCATGGGACTCGAGTCAACAACTCTGTAATTTAGTGTGCATTGAAAAGGAAATTATCATCCCAACCATTATCCAACCATCATACAATATTGTGTCCTTAGATCAGGGATGGGAAATCTAGGCTAGTGAGTGGGCTGCATGAGTGGCCTTCCTTCCTCTTAGTGAGTGGCAAGATTGTTGAAACCAAGATAGTCTCCTGGAATATGGTAGTTTTGCTCTATGCACTTGCATACCTAGAGTTGGTGGGGTGTGCCGATTGAACCACAGAAGTGGTTTGATTGGATGCAGTGGAAGCACAGTCAACATTGTGAGCAGTCAGCATGCACCACACTTCACACACCCTCACTTTACATGTGTATCTCTTTAGTAATACAGGCAGGGACAAAAACGATGCAGATGGAAACCAGCAGAATCTACCCACTGTGCAATGGGCAATGGTCAACAAAATGTCTTGCAGGCCACACATAGAACCCTGGGGGGCTGCAGGTTTCCCACCATGGCCTTAGATGAACCCAATGCCTGTGTCTAGACTGGCAAGTTTTTCCGCAAAATCATTTGCTTTTGCGGAAAATCTTGCCAGCTGTCTACACTGGCCGCTTGAATTTCCAGAAAAGCACTGACGATCTCATGTAAGATCATCAGTGCTTTTCCGGAAATACTATGCTGCTCCCGTTTGGGCAAAAGTCTTTTTCTGAAAGACTTTTGCGCAAAAGGGCCAGTGTAGACAGCACAGTACTGGTTTCCGAAAAAAAGCCCCGATCGCGAAAATGGCGATCGGGGCTTTTTTTGCGGAAAACCGTGTCTAGATTGGCCACGGACGCTTTTCCACAAAAAGTGCTTTTGCAGAAAAGCATCCTGCCAATCTAGACGTGCTTTTCCGAAAATGCTTTTAACAGAAAAGTTTTCCATTAAAAGCATTTTTGGAAAATTATTCCAGTGTAGACATAGCCACCATGTTTAAAAGTAGATAATACGGGGACATGGTGCTGTGAATGTAATCACTGATGTAAGAACATTTGCCCAGAGGGCGCATGCATTGGATGGATTTTGTATTCATTTTTGGAAAACTGACTGCTCTTGTTATTCTAGGCAGTAGCAAACGCTGGGCCCAAGAGCAGGTAGCACCTGAGCATCCAAGCCCAGCTAGCCACATCCCAATCTAGCTGGTTCTCAAAGGGGTGAGACTTGTGTCTACTGCTCCTTAGACCTTGTGGTAGAAGGGCACTCTTGGCCCCATTCCCATTTTGTCTTGGGCCCAAAGGGAAGGACCCAATCCAATGTCAGGGTACAGGGAAAGCCTGCTAGAACCCACATGCTTAGCAGCTCCTTTCTGCATTTAGGAGGCAAGACATTTTGGTCCTTCACCTAGTCACTGTTATTCTAATATTGAAAGGAATGCGGGAGGCCGGCAATTCTTTGTTTCCTTCTTCTGGCTGGGTGGAGGGGAGTGGGAGCACCTTTGTAGTTGCTACTCCAGCCTCCTCTCAGCTTGTCTTCAGACAATGGAGGGAGAACTAGGTATAGTTGCTCCTGTTGTTTTTGTTTCCCCAACTCATTGAGCAAGTTGAGAGAGGGGACCAAGAATACTAAGCTGCCAGTCGCAGCTTGTGTATTGTCCTATCCTTCAGTCCACTCTGCTTGTAGCCCTTCCCCCTTTGGGTACAGAATCCTGGGGTGTCCTGTTTGCTTCAGAAACCTCGCCCCCACCTCCACTTGCTATGCTGCAATAGCATGAACCAGACATCTCCCCCTGAGGAAGGATAGAGTGATCATTTAAAAATGGAAGCAAAGTCATGTGTGATGACACAAGATCTTGAGCAGAGGCTAAAGATTCAAAGGACATAGGAGACCAGACAGATCCGATTTAAATGGTATTACACCTACTCGCATTATGTTTGAAGCTGAGTCATGCTTTAGAACAAACATGTTTGGTCTATTGGAAGCTCTGTCTCCTAACATAAGTCATTTAGGCCAACGTTTTCAAAGGGGTGTGTGTGGCTAAAGTTAGATGCCTAAATACATATTTAAGGATTTTAGGGTATATCTACACTGCAGTCAGGAAGGCCATTGCCAGCATAGGTAGACAGGCACTCGTCAGCTCCACTGATGCTAGCATGCTAAAAATAACTATGTAGGCAGGGTTAGCATGGGCAGAGGCTCAGGGGGTCCAGGCAGGCTTGAACTCAGGATAATCTAGCTGCTGTTGGGTGACTCTTGCCATATTGCTTAGTCTCTCTACACATTAATTCTCCATCTGTAAAATGGGGGAAATGGCTCACCTGTAACTCACAGGGCTGTTGTGAGAATAAACACATACATGATTTTCAGGGGATAGTCGAGTTAATCTGTACAGGATAAACTTAAAAAACAACACATGGTCTGGTAGCACTTTATAGACTAACAAAACATATAGGCTACATCTACACTGGCATGATTTTCCGAAAATGCTTTTAACAGAAAACTTTTCCGTTAAAAGCATTTTTGGAAAAGCACGTCTAGATTGGCAGGATGCTTTTCCGCAAAAGCACTTTTTGTGGAAAAGCGTCCGTGGCCAATCTAGACGCGGTTTTCCGCAAAAAAGTCCCGATCGCCATTTTCTGTGATGTACTGTGCTGTCTACACTGGCCCTTTTGCACAAAAGTCTTTCGGAAAAAGACTTTTGCCCTAACGGGAGCAGCATAGTATTTCCGGAAAAGCACTGACAATCTTACATGAGATCATCAGTGCTTTTCCGAAAATTCAAGCGGCCAGTGTAGACAGCTGGCAAGTTTTTCCGCAAAAGCAGATAATTTTGCGGAAAAACTTGCCAGTCTAGACACAGCCATAGATGGTATCATGTATATCTATGAGCTCATGATACCATCTACATGTTTTGTTAGTCTATAAAGTGCTACCAGACCATTTGTTGTTTTTTAAGTTTACCACATACAGGATTGTGAGGGGCTCACATAGTATGGTGAGAGATCACATAAGTGCTTTAGATCATTCTCAGAAGTTCTGGGCAACCACAACTTCCACTGATTCCAATGCTGCAGTCTCTATTTTTAATAGCGTGGCAGATCTGAAATCAGTAAAGATCTTTGTGAAGCTGACCTGGATGTTAAGGATTGGTTGCAGCCTGTTCTCCTCTTAGCGCTTTGCGTGAAAGCTCATATCCAAGAAACATGGCTGCACTCATTGGAAATCCTCGCACTGCATTGACCGTGATGCCCCTCACAAAGACCTGTCCAGAAGGGAAAAATATTACAACAAAGGAACAGATCAGACATTTTTATGAAGAAGGAAACACTGAGCTCTAGTGAAAATGTCAATAACTAAACATTGTAAACTGTGATCTGCTCAGAGCCAGAGGAGAGAACATAACTCACGACACATTACTGCCTTAGCTGCTATGCTCATATCTGAGCATTTTCTATTTGAGCACCAGTGTGTCAAAAAACAATAGCAAGATACTAGTTTCAAGGGGATGCATAGATACTCTTTTTTTTTTTTTTGTGTGTGGTTAAGTACAATGCCCTCCAAGCAAATAGCAGCAGCACTGAGAAGCAGGAGAAGCCTCTCAGAATTTTCTTTTCCTGTTGTGGGTAAAAATTGGGCTATTTTGTGTTTATATCTTTGTGACCAGAAAACAGGAAATCAATCTTCTTCTTAATCTCCCCTTTCTTATCTATCTCTCCCTTCCTCTCTTGCAGGTGCATTGACAGGGGCATTGAATGAGCTAAGAAAACAAAAGGCAAGATGACAGGGCCTCTTGCCTTTGCAAATGAAGTGCTCAAACTTTATGGGTGAGGTCTTCCATTGCACCAGAGCTCTGCCTGAGACACCTGGGAAAGGAGGAGACGAGGTGTTAACTATCTGGGCTCACTCTCTGCTGCAAGCTGAGGAAGACATAAGTATCTTCTTCCCAGGATAGGGGACCAAAATCAATCGTTTTAAAAATTCTTCAGTCTTTACAAAGGCAAACTTACAAAAGATGGGACTTCCCGCCCTGAGACTCTCCTCACCCCCCAACCCTCATTCTCTCACCCTCCTGCCCCCAGCCTCCTGCATTGCTCCCACATCCCCAAGGCCCTGCTCTGACCCCACACCGCCAGCTTCCTGTCCAGAAGGACCTGGGCAATGTCAGGTAAGTCTGCAAGTACATTGATATTTGACCATCAGGGTAGCCAGGGTAAGGTCATAAGGACAAATGCTGCCCTTATTTCTGTCATTATCCAAAGACTGTTTCATATGGCTACTTGCTGTGTATTTCTTCATGCTCCTGACTCCCCTTTGTCCTATGAGTGAGAATAAAAGGTGGCAACAGCCTTCGTTTGGGAAAAGGGTCAGACTATGACCTTTTGTGGCTGTCAGTAAGATCTACTATCATGTTGCCAAAAGACGGCAAATATTTAATGGGTGACAATCCCAAATTTGTCAGTTATTTTCCTGTTTATAATTGGTTAGTTTCCTCTCAGAACCTGGAATTTAGCTTTCTCTAGTTAGCTATAAATGTTTTGGGGGAAGGCATAAGATGCAAAGCACATTTAAGTGTCAGAAACAACAGCACAATGTTTAGTCCCCGTCAGTTTAAAATACAATAAACCCACAGCGCTTGATTCTCTGCCATTCTGATTTAATAGCATATTACACCCACTTTGCCCCTGTGTGAAAGCCCTGTGTCGGGGCTAAAGGGCACCAGAGAAATAGATCCATCAAATCTTATCCACCCATTACCAAATACATAATAAGTTTAGGTGAAATTTGGCCCCAGTGAAGTTAAAAGCACTGCTCCCTTTGACTTTAATGGGGCCAGTATTTAACTTTCTATGTTTTACCGAAAATAGTCATGACAAATACCACCTCAGTCTGAATTAAACCCATTTATTTCAGTGGGACTTCCCATGGAGTAAAATGTTAGTCCAAATGTATAGGAGAACCTGATCTTATATCATTTAAATCTTTATTTCTTTAGAACATATTACTGCCATCAATTTTATGGCTTATAATTAAATGTACTGACATTAGTGATCTATTGTCTACCTACAGCTTGGATAATAACAGCTATTAAATTTTTCACTAAAGATTAATGCCACTTACTTTTAAGCCTTCACTATGGTAGCTCTGGGAGATACAATCAATGACTCCTTTGTATTTGTTTAAATAAACCCCATCGGCTTGAAGTCGACTTTTCACAACATCCATCGGTGTAGCAGTCCCCCAGGAAATTGCTCCTAGAAATAAGGAAAAGAAAATTCCTTCCTTTGTGCTGCACTGATTATACGTGGAGATATATGGGTAATAATATACTATCACTAGTGCATGCCTATTCACAGTCTTCCTTAGTCCCAGTCTGCTACACCCACTAATTCACCCAGCACCTATTGCATCCAGTCGGTGGTACTTTGAAAAAAGATGAATGCATGGGAATGATAGTGTAAAGTAGCATTTTTGACATCAACGTGGCACTTCTGGGGGTAATGCACCAAATTTCTGGACAAATTGTTTGCAGAACTGGTTGTCTGTGTGACACTGGGAAGGAGTAATCAATCAGTCAATTACAGGCAGATCAGAAGAATCCCTGTGTGCATAGATACTGGTGCAGTACCCATGACTAAGACTTGAGAAAATATCATTTAGTACAAGTTTGTGAAGAAAAGCTTTTCCTCCCACCCCCAAATTTCTCAGCTCTACAATCTACAGGTTGAACCTCTGTAATCTGGCCTTCCCTAGTCTGGCAACACCTCTGGTCTGGCATCGTCAGAGACCGCATGCAAGCATTCCTATGGACAATCTAGCGGGCTCAGGCCAGGAGTATTGGTAGACTAGATGCTAGTGGCTGGGAAAAAGTGGGGCAGCTAAGTGGATAGGGGAAAGAATTGCCCTGGGCCAGCATTGATCTCTCCTGATCTGGCAAATTGCCTGGTTCGGGGTTGGTCAGGTGCCAATGGTGCCAGACCAGGGAGGTTCAACCTATACAAAAATATACCCCATTTCTAAGTATGTTGCTAATAGGAGCAATTTTAAACTAACTTTGGAATTGGTGGGTTATTTTGAGAAAGAGGGTACTGAGTGAAGAAGGCTTGAGGTGCTTTTTTAATCACATGGGAATACACTGAATCTGATTCCTATTGAACACTCTGCAATCAGATGGGCTGTTTTTCCTTGTTGCAAATGCCAGTGGCAGTTATATCTCTTATGACTGACATCTTCCAGTTACTCAGGATCTTATTCAAGTATAGAAAACATAGTCCTATATTTGCTCCCTTTTTCCTCCGGAATGTAATGCTTCCATGCTGAGAGAGTTAATCCTTTGAGAAAGTCTCATGCATATTGATTCAGTATTATAATTAAATCTGTGGCCTTTCCTGCCAGTCACTGTGTTTGATTGGGCTGTAGGGGGAAAGACAGACTGAAGAAGCATGCTGTGAGCCATGCCAGTGTCCTGACATACTAGAGAATTTGTTCAGATCAATCAGTGTTCTGTCTGTTTGCAAGTGACACAGAGCCAGTGTGTTGTAATCATTACCCAGGCTAATAAGTAACTGTCTTCAGTTTGGATCTAGAGATTTAGGAATTGTAAATAAACCATTAGCTGGTTTAAGGGCAAGTTTGTACATACAAATGTATATTTTGGCCAGTATAAACAGAGAAAGCAGGCTTCAACTTCCAGCACTGAGACAAGATTAATGTTGTCTGTCTTGATTTTATGGCTTCTGCTGTGGATGAATGTTTATCCTTATGAGGTACATACAAGGTAACATACTGCCTTGGAGGCTTATGGATCATTCAAAAAGTTGAAAGGCCACTGAAGTCCACAGGAGCCTTTCCAATGGTTTCAATGGGCTTTGGACCAAGCCCTTATTAAGAAGAAAATAAACATGTGAGGCCCAGTCTTGCAAGTAGTTATACAGGTGCCTAACTTCACTCACATGAGCAATTCCACTGTATACATATAGACTGTCCACCGATGTGAAATCCTGGCCCCATTGAAGCCAATAGCAAAATTCCAGTTGACCTCAAAGGGGTCATGATTTCATCCTTAGTTCACTGCCTCTAAAGGAAACCCTTAATGGCAATTCCACTGACATCAACAACAATAGGCAAGATTTACACTGATGTAAGTGAAAAGAAAAGAAGGCCATAAAACAGGGACATTTTACGATTCGGATTGATTTTTGCAGATTATCCAATATATAGGTACATATATTGTGCCTGATACAGAAAGACTAAACACAATAAAGAAATCTTACCCTGACAATAAAATTAGTGGTTTGCTTATTCTGCGTTTCAATGCTTTGGGGTATGGCTGGGATCTGATTAATACCTACTACTGTGACTACTATAACATTTCTGACATTTAGACTAAGCTACATGGTAATTTGTTTCCCAACCTTATGAAATAGAAATAACCATACCTGCTATACCTCCTGCCATCCACACAGAAGAGGGAGTAGGAGATATGGCTCCCTCAGGGGTAATCCATTCACAGAGAAATGCATAAGGGATGAAGTATAGGCAATACCCAGGAACATCCCTCAGAAGCATTGCGCCGGCACGGATTGAACTAACACAGTGAATTGGGCCTCTGTATGCAGGAAACCCAATTACCCTGTGCTTTAAGTTTATGTTTGCTGCGAAAACAGATACAAATCATTTTAACAACTATACATACTTTGGGTGTTCTCATATTTTAGCTTAACTTCCCTAATGAAGTTGCTCCTTTTTAAATTAAGCCCTGGTAGACCTTTCCTCTTTATAATTTAAGTGAAATGTAAAAACACTCAGTGGGTAAAATTTTTAAAAGTGCCTAAGTGACTTAGGAACCTAAGTCATATGTTCAAAAGAGGCTTAGATTTTCAGGGCCAGATTTCAAATGTATTTTGACACCTAAAGATGCAGACAGACATCTAGTAGACTTTTCAAAAACCACTCCGCACATTAGGTACCTATGTACCATTGACTTCAACCCCAGTTGGCACCTACTAACATCTTTAGGCACCTAAATCTGGTTGTGAGACACAGGCAATTTTGAGACCAAAATAACTTTAGCACTTTTTATTCATTTTTTATTAAAACAAACATGTAAACTTATTGTATTTTATACAATAGAGCTAATTACATTTCAAAAGCCGCATAATATTTTAAGAACAAGATAGTTATTAAAGAAGCTGACAAAAGCCAGCAAATCCTAAGAAGAAGAGGGTATTACCCTCATTTTTTGTGTATGTTTTTCATGAAGTATTTCCCCTCAAAAACAGAAATCTGTGCTGTCCTTTGAAATCAGCAAATATAAATCACATCGAATTGCTTCCCAAAGAAATGGGCTCATTATTATGTTGGCCTAGGCTAACCTGTGCCTGCCTGTTGATGTCCTGCTTTGGGTGAAGTTTCCACCTGGTAGAAATGTATATTCACTTTGAAATTTGTGGCTACAGCTATCCAGGCAACTATTTTTCAGGGTTTTTTGAACATCATCATTCATTCCACTTGTATGAAATAAACAGAAATTGTCACAATACCAGATCTCTCTCACATGCAAACCCTTTGTGGATAAACATTAGAAATCAATTCTACAAGCAGTGGTACAAAGTTATAGATGCATCTTATCTGATTGATATATATATAGAATCCTAGAACTGGAAGGAAATATATATATGTATATATAGAATCCTAGAACTGGAAGGAACCTTGAGAGGTCATCAAGTCCAGTCCCATGCACTCATGGCAAGATCAAGCACCATCTCTACCAGGCCTGGGAAAAATACAGCACATGGGCTGGATTTGGTCCACCACGCCACTGGATCTGGCCTGTGGATGCTGCAGGGAGCCCCAGGCAGGCTCACCCCTTGCCTTGCTCCACCCACACACCGCTCAGAAAAGCGTCTGTGGGGCAATTTCTCTTTAACAACTGTGAACCCCAGAGGGGAGGGGGGAAGGCTTCAGTTGCTATCCCCACCCCTAGCACAATTCATTTGCCAATTTCTGGCCAGAAACTGGCCAATGGGGGCTGCCTGTTTGAATAACAGGCAGTCACAAAGCACCACACCTCCTCTCCTCCAGAGATCATAGTTATTCACAGAGCACATGGCTGCAGACTGTGCAGGAGTGAGACAGGCAGGGAGCCTGCTTCAGAAATGTGCTGAACTTCTGGTTAAGCATCACCCAGGTAAGTCTCCTGGCCAGCCTCTCCCTCCCCTAACCCTCTCTTCCCCTCCACTACTCCACATACCCAAACCCATCTGCCCCCTTCTGCAACCATATCTCTTCCCAGATCTGGCACCCTAGTCCCCTGCCCCAGATCACTATCCCCTCCTGCCCTTGCTCACAACCCAATCACCTGTATTTCCTCCTGTACCCTATTTCCCTGCTCTAGATCACAACCCATCCCCCTGCACCTCAGTCCAGTGTCCCATGTCACAACTGCCTCCTTCACCCAAACTCCCTTCCAGACCCCACACTCCCTCCTGCATCCCAATCCCTTATCCCAAGCTGCTTTCTGCACCCAACCTCCATCCCAGACCCCACATCTCCTCCATTAATATCACGGAAGAGTGCAGCCCTTGACCACTTTCCAAATTCTTGGAGTGGCCCTCCCCCATCAAAAATTATTGCCCATCTCTGATCTAGACCATCCCTGACAGGTGTTTGTTTAACCTGTTCTTTAAAAACTCCAATCTAGGCAATTAAAAAAAAACCCTTCTTGTCCGGATGGTTAAGTCCTGAAATAATGTCCAAGCTAAACTTGCCTTGCTGCAATTTAAGCCCATTGCTTCTTGTCCTATCATCAGAGGTTAAGGAGAATAATTTTTCTCCTTCTTCCTTGTAACACCCTTTAGGTTCTTGAAAGCTGTTACCATGTCTCCTCTCAGTCTTCTCTTTTCTAGACTATGGAACCCAATTATTTCAATCCTCCCTCATAGGTAATGTTTTCTAGATTTTTAAATAATGTTTGGTGCTCTTCTCTGAACCTTCTCCAGTTTGTCCACATATTTCCTGAAATGTGGTGCCCAGAACTGGACACAGTACTCCAGCTGAGGCCTAATCAGCACAGAGTAGAGCGGAAGAATGACTTCTCGTGTCTTGCTTACAACACTCCTGTTAATACATCCCAGAATTATGTTAACTTTTTTATTTTTTGGAACAGTGTCACACTGTTGACTCATATTTAGCTTGCAGTTCACTGTAACTCCTACATTACTTTCTGCCATACTTCTTCTTAGAAAGTCATTTCCCATTCTGTATGGATGAAACTGATTGTTCCTTCTTAAGTGTACTTTGTATTTGTCCTTGTTGAATTTCATCCTATTTACCTCAGTCCATTTCTCCAGTTTGTCCAGGTCATTCTGAATCATAATGCTACTTTACAAAGCACTTGCAACCCCTCCCAGCATGATATCCTGTGAAAACTTTCTAAGCTCTATGCCAAGGGTGGGGAACGTAAGGCCTGGGGGCTGGAAGTGGCCCCCAGCTTGCCTGGATCTGGCCATAAAAGCTCAGGATTCCTCCACTAGGGAGCCTGAGCTGATGCTCCAGTCCTTCTGCCACCCTACAATGGGGCTCACAACATTTCCTAGCCTGGATACTCCAAGGATCTGGTGTGTGAGGAGAATGTAGGATGAGACTTTCTCCTTCTCCGTTGGGGGCCACATCAATGAAGGTTTGAAGGTTTTATTTTGTTTTGTTTTGCTTCTCACTTGTGTGCAGCCTCCAACTGATTTTTCTGTGGGTCAGCAGCCCCCAACCAAAAAAGGGTCCTCACCCCTGCTCTATGCCATTAACTAAATCATTGATTAAGGTATTGAAAAGAACCGGTTCCAAAACAGATCCCTGTGGAACCCTGCTTGTTATGCCCTTTCAGCATGACTGCAAACCACTGATAACTCTCTGGGAATGGTTATTCAACCAGTTTTGTACCCACCTTATAGTAGCCCCATCTAGGTTGTATTTCCCTAATTTATTAATGAGAAGGTCATGCAAGACTGTATCAAATGCTTTCCTAAATCTAGATATGCCACATCTACTGCTTCCCCCATCTCTGTAAGGCTTGTTATCCTATCCAAGGAAACTATCTGGTAGGTTTGACATGATTTGTTCTTTACAAATCCATGCTGACTTACTTATGACTTTATTCTCTTCTAAATGTTTGCAAATAGATTCCTTAATGATTTGCTCTATTATCTTTCTGGTACAGAAGTTAAATCAGCTGATCTGTAGTTTCCTGGGGTGTCCTTATTTCCCTTTTCATAGATGGGCACTATATTTGCCCTTTTCCAGTCTTCTGTATTCTCTCTTGACTTGGAGTTGGGAGAGACTTCCATGATTTTTCAAAGATAATACCATATTCTGTTAGAATACATTCATAGTTCCTCTCTTTCATATGTACTTTGTATTTCACTGAGATACAGTAAAACCTCAGAGTTATGAACACCTCAGGATTCGAGGTTTTTCTAACTCTGAACAAAACCTTATGGTTGGTCTTTCAAAAGTTAATAAGTGATCGTTAACTTAATATAGCTTTGAAACTTTACAATGCAGAAGAAAAATGTGGCTTTTAACCATCTTGATTTAAGTGAAACACACACAAAAACAGTTCCTTTACCTTGTCAATGTTTTAATTTTTCCTTAATTTTTATAATAGTTTACATTTAACACAATATTTTACTCTGCTGCCTGTTTGGGTACTTCTGATTCAAGATGTGGCGTATGCTTGACTGGTCGTTTTATAACTGGTGTTCATTTCTCTGAAGTTCTACTGCATATATACTCGCTCTTGCTCTCTCACGTACACACATGCAAATGACATATATATACATATCAAAGAGACTGTGAAAAACTTATATGAAAGGAGCAGCAAAATATACAAATTTTAGTAGGACACTCATATGTGGCCTTGGAGTTCAGAACTCACCACTTATCATAATCAAAATCATTGGCAGACATGACAGCTTTTCGGGACCTCAGGTGACACTTTTATTTTCAGTCTCAGCGTTAATGGTGATTCCAAATCTCTTCATTGCAACAAATATATTAGGCCAAATTCTGACGTGTTTCAAAGTTGTAATCGAGCAACAGAGTCATTGATATCATTGTAGTTACTCTCTATATACACTGGGGTCAGAGAAATCAAACTTTGATTCAGCTAATCTCTCATCTTTAGTGTCCAATCTTCTAGTACATCTGAACCTGAATTTTTGCAAAGAAAATTTGCATCCAGGCAAATAGACTTACTGCTAGTTGTGGGCTTTTTTCAAGTATTTCTATAGGCTCAGCAAGAAGGCAAAGCTATTGCCTGTTCTTCACATGCTCATTTGGGACCTTTTTCTTTTCATTTTCTACAGTATGTCAGTCCTAGACTGTCTCTCAACACATTTGTCATGGCTTCTGGTCTGCAGAAAAATTCCACCCCGTAGCCATCTTGCTGTCAAGATACTCTGCCTGATTTCAGTTCAGCTTCTCCCTTGCTGAATGCCTTCTCATGAGGACTAGGAATGGTCTTAAGTACTGCCCTAAACATTGCTCATAGTTTATGCTCTTAGACATTTATAGGTGTATCAAATCCCTCCTTACTTGTGTGGACCTTCTCTGAGCTGCTTCTTGCTTGTCAAAATCATTCTGCAACACCCAGAAAGCAATGCAATGGAATTATGCCAATTTACACGAGCAAGGGATCTGGCTCAAGAGTCTAGGTGGAACTGTTCCAGATCCAGAAGGAGGAGGGCTCCTTTTGGCTGGCACTTTGCCTTTCAGAGCCGGAATTCAGTGCTAACCAAATTTAACATCAGGAAGCGGCTTTAAAAGAATTCTGGTCTTAGAATTAAAACAATGTTTCAATGATTCCATGTATTCAAAGGCATAAAGACATTTTGACCAATAGTTACCTTTATATAAGAACCTGAAGCCTGAAAGCAGATTCCTGATGTAAATTCAAACTTGCCCTTTAGAACACTTAGTTCACTAAGATAGCCCATTGGTCATTTGCCTCAGCTGCATACCTGAGCAAACATATCCCAGTACCGTACAGTTCCACTACCTCTTTGAGAGATGACAAACCTGATCTCACAAACAAATGTGGGCTCGAAACCCAAAATTTTCATACTGTTCACCTTCCAGAAAAAAAGCATCAGGCTGCATTTTCAAGCTTCCCATGCATTAACAATCTACGTAATCTCGCCTGTGCTTTGTTAGAGCCAATGGACCATATTTTCATTTGTTAGATCTGGGGAAAACTTTTTCTCTTTATAAAATGTGACATTTTGGATCGACTGAAACTATTCATAAATTTGGGTCAATGTTGGTGAATTGGTCCAGGTTTTTTTGGGGGGGGAGAGAGCAATTTAAAAATGTTTCAACTTTTCCTTTCATTCTGGAATTTCCTTCAATCGTATTTAAAAAAACTAAAAATTTCAAACTCAAAATTAACCTTTTTCTATATGAATTTTCAACAAAATTTTGAAACATTTTCAGGGTGACCCAAAATGATTTTTTGGGGGCGGGGAGAAATTGGCCATAGAACTGAAATATGGGTCATTTGTACAGGTTTATTATTTACAATAAATCTCTTATATCACTCTGGGTATGTCTACACTACCCTCCTAATTCGAACTAGCGGGGTAATGTAGGCATACCGCACTTGCAAATGAAGCCCGGGATTTGAATTTCCCGGGCTTCATTTGCATGAAGCCGGCCGGCGCCATTTTTAAATGCCGGCGGTTCGAACCCCGTGCCGCGCGGCTACACACGGCACGGAGTAGCTAGTTCGGATTAGGTTTTGGATTCGATCATTCCACGAGGAGTACAGCTAGTTCGGATTAAGAAGCCACGGGGTTTGAACCGCCGGCATTTAAAAATGGCGCCGTCTGGCTTCATGCAAATGAAGCCCGGGAAATTCAAATCCCGGGCTTCATTTGCAAGTACGGTATGCCTACATTACCCTCCTAGTTTGAATTAGGAGGGTAGTGTAGACATACCCTCTGAAAGTATGAAGAAATCTACATGAGAACTGGGCCTTAAGTGATACTTTGGCAGGGGTTTTCAAATTACATTTCATTTGCTTTTTCATCAAATAATACAATGGAAGAGTCAAACAACACTCATGCAATTATATTGCACTGCCATTGGTACTATGATTCCTAAGAACCAACGGCAGCATTGATAAAGCCATTACAATTCCTTTGGTGAGAATCGACCACTAACAGGTCCAATCATGTCTAGTCCTGTGGCACCTTAGAGAATAACAATAATATATATAAAATCATGAGCTTTCATGAGTAAAACCCACTTCCTCAGATGAGCTGGTCTATATAGAACAATGAATTATGGAAAGTAGGTAGCTGCTTTTCAAAGTCAAATCATTCAGAATCTTGGCAGTGCTGAAGTCAATGGAAAGCCATCAATGAACTATAGATCAGGCCCCTAAGCAATGTATTTCTATGGTGATTTTATTTCTCATCAAAAAACACAACAAGACATTCCTTTTTAACCTAAAAATCTTCATTCAGTGTTGTCTGTAACTGCCTGCAGTGATGGAAAGCTTCTGACTCTTGAAGGAATGAAGAGAGGTAAGAATCATATTTATGAATCAGGTATAACCATCAATGCTTAGGCTTAGTGAAGGTTTTCAGGACCAGGAATGTCATTAACACCACCTTCGGTTTTGAGAACTATTTGGAAAAAGTGTCTTCACAGAAAGAGCTGAGGGGAGGAACTGGGTCTTTGTTTCATATTGGAGAGGGATGACAGGTAAAAATGTGCAGTACTCCACTGATGGGCAAGTGGGCGATTTTGTTTCCCCCTCCTCTCCCCCCTCCCCCCCCAAGATAAGCTGTTTACAGATAAGCTGAGCATCTTTTATGGTCATGATGACAAATTGGCACACTATTTTGCTTGTGAAAATTGTGTATAATGTTATATATTATAGAATGCCAGAAATGGCATGAGACTGAGATAACAATCTATGGGTAGACGAATCAAATCTTCAAAGAGCATCCTATCTTGAAATAAAAAAGCGTGAAACCAAAGGAATGGAAATAGTCATAGAATTGCTAGTAACCACTATAATCTGAAGAAGCAATGAATCTAGGTTCATCAGTCTCTTAAGGCAGCAAGCAAATTTTAGTCTCATTACTTTCCTCACACAAGAAAAACTGTCACTAATATTCTTGGCAAGCGGCAAGATTCAGCAAATACATATTCATTTTTTTTTATTCCATATTGTTCTATATAGGCTTCTGTAAGAGACCTTATGGGATGAAAATGCCCATAAATTAGACTTTATCTCACAGTCTCAGCTGCATTATACAATGCGTTCTGTGTAGCACACCTAGATGGAAAATATAGTCATCTTCAATAGTGTAGATCTTAACGATAAACGGTGGCCATAAGCCAAATAATGTAGCTCATCATAAGAGATTTTTCAGACAAAATTGCAATTGAAGCTTCAGTAAAGACTATAGCAGATATTCACATTGTCAACCTCCTGTTGGGTCACTGCTCCACAAATAAATAAATAAAATCAGACAACTACTGAAAACACCTCTGCCTTAGGTGTCTGTGCCTTTAGTGCATTGTCTAAAAGACGGTTGAGAACCTCTCTTTGAAGGCCTGGATGGTGCTATTGCTGCAAATTAAAAGTTTTCTGGATTCACTGCATTCTGTGAGGATTTTACGGTATAACATTTAGTTTAAGGAACACAGGCCTGATTCGCTCTTGCCTAGTAGTTTGCATGGTCATTTACACTGGTGCAAAGTGGTCATATAACACACCCATTGGTGTTAGGGCCTGATTCAAAGTCCACTGAAAGTGATAGGAGTCTTTTTATTGGTTTCAATGGCGTTTTGATCAGGCTCTGGGATATTGGCAAAATCTAATTGATAATGTTTTTCCATAAGTATCAATGAGCAAAATGGATGTAAGATGGCGGAGAATCCAGCTGTGAAAACCCTTGTCTTCTTACCTTTAGCAAATGTCTGTGTCTGCATCTGTAGTCTTATCTTTATCAGGTCCACAGGACTACCAATTCCTACTGAGACAACCCCTGCTACCATGCTGGCAGCAAGCAAGTCCGAGAATGCTGGGGCATGGTTAGAATCTCCATAGCGCTGTTGGCTAATAAACCTTTTAGTGTTGCTGAAGACACCAAATGTCACCGAGCTGTAGACAGCAATGCTGGCCAATGGGAAAGACATTCCTTTAAAGAATCCAGCAACCTAACAGTGAAATGAATCAAGAGTTAAGGGTGATGTATCAATTTGATTATTTTTCCTGCTGGGTTACACTTTGCAGTAAACCTTAGAATTCCACGATCTCTACTATACTTGACTTTTCATATTTCAGTCCAGTTACCCAGAAATTATGTCTTCTTTTGTTCAGTGTGGGAAATTGATCACTGAATACCTCTCTTGTCATTTTTAACATCTTTGATTCTTTCATAGAGCTAACTGGATTTAAAATGTGATATCTTACGTACCTTTCTTAACAATTCTTTATGTAATGACATGTCATATCAGGCTGGAGACAGATAGATAGAGAGACAGACAGAGAGACAGACAGATAGATCCCAGCCCAATGCATGTATTGTCATAAATTATACAGGTGGAAAATTTTCCTATTTTACCTAAGCTGGGCTCACTAAGTGGATTAGACAGCACACACAGCAACATAACAACCAGGAAACCTTGTTTCTAATAATCGCTTGGCTTTTTGTTTAATGGCAGTTTTGTCTAAGTAAGGAATACAGGATCAGACCATAAGTGTCCTAAACATGACATGCTTATTACCCAAGTTCTGTACTGCTTTATACCCATGCCTTTCCATTCACTTCCATATTGTCACATGGGGAATAAATCAACACAGAACTTGGCCCCAAATTACCTTCAGCTGGCCTGGCTGGCTGTTCTAATGATGCAGAATCTGAACATAGGGGCAAAACATCTCAGGGCTCATCTCCAGGGTGCAGTAATGCACATGAGGGTGATGTGATTCTAATGCACACCAATGTGTTGCATGCGAAGTCACTCATGTAGACTATTGGCACAAACTAGAAAATTCCTATTGTACATTAAACCTCCTATTGTTTAAAGCTGTACTGGGGAACTTTTAGTGCATTCAGGCAGGTCTGTATGGGCCAGTGACTATGCAACATGTTGGTGCACATTAGAATTCATGCCTCACTGAGGCACATTACCTCATTTGGAGGCAAGGCAATCAATTCAGGAAGAACTTTGGGATTCGTAGTGGGAACAACAAGAAAGGAGCTTAGTTTGCTCCCCTTGAAGTCCAAAGAAACTTTGTGAGTAAGGTCAGTAGAAGCAGGATTGGGCATAAAGCTTGGAAATGACAAGCTATTTCATGAGTCATATTCAACTTGTGCACTTCCTAAATTCAGGCTCCAGGCTGGGCTTATGTCTGAAGAGGTTGTTCTGCCTCCTACTCACAAGCAGGTTTCATGCAATGTATGTATCTGTTGGGGGTGAGGATTATTCTGCTAAAAACAGTGTTTCAGACATAAAAAGGAGACTGAAAATCACACACACACCTATACTCCTGCCCACTCAAAGGAGCCAAAAATCTATAGTCACTCCCTTGAGGACTGTCTTTCTTAGGGTTGCCAGATGGTTTACCCAAAAATACTGAACACCCTCCCCCCCCCCAAAAAAAACACAGGGGAAAAAATTCTGTGGAGGGGGAAAAAAGGGAGAGAACAAAGTTGCTGAGCAAAAAAAAAAAAAAAAAAACCCAAAACAAAACAGTTATTAAGCAAAAAACCAAAAAACATTAAAACAGCTTTAAGTGCCTGCAGAGTCAGAATAGGGATAGCAAGACAGGAGTAATTGAGTACTAAGACCCAGGGAAGGCTTCAGTTCTTTAGGCTTCTTGCAGGTGGCCATTTTGTTTTCTTCATGGAGCCAGAATGCAGATTCCCTGTGGAACCAGGTAAGGCCAGGGGGACCCGGGGGCTGGTCCCAGTTGCTGAGTATGTAGGGTTGTTGGGTGTCTGCTATTTTTGCCTTCTGGCTGGGAAAAAAACAGAAAATACTGGACAGTTTAGGCATCCAGTATTTTCTGAATATTTTTACCAGATAGAAGGCGAAAATACCGGACTATTTAGGTCAATACCAGACACTTGGCAGCCCTAGTTCCTTCTCAGAGGACCAGATTCACTTGGAGGAGGGCAAGTACTTGCAGTTCTCCACATAATGCCTTTGAATGCCATTGCACTGAGTGCACACTGTTTTGGAATCTCTTTGAATCTCTTTTTTATTTTCTCTGCTGGCATGGTATAGACAAACCAAGCTACTTACACTTTCATTTCTGTACACGGTAAGGATACAATTAAGAGTATTTCCATATCCTTGTCCAGCTTGTAGACGAGCCTGCAAATTGTATTTACAAAATGTAATTGACACAATGCATGTTCATTTCAGTGGAAGCACATGCTACACAAACAAAGCACATTTGATTCTGACAGCAAATTATGGCTTTGCTCCTGGGACATATGGGACAATAAGCAGCAGTTCAGTTTGCACAGTGCCAGCGGCAGATCCAGAGAGAACCCCAGACCTCCAGGGCTCTTTCCTTCATCTGGAATCCAGATCAAGTTGGTTTGAAATGTGGAAAGGCAAGGCCTCCTAACCCGACATAGAATCATTGGCACAAGTGTTATGCAGAATAATATCATTTGCAAATGATATTATTAGCCACCAAGGAATGCAGTGGATTCTCTGTCTGTAATCATCATTAGATAACTTTCCAAAAGATAAACTCTACAACCACCTAGAAGTTATAGTTTTTATGCAGGAATCGGTGGCCAAAATCTCCTGTGTTATGCAGAAGGTCAGACTATACCAAAATGGTTCCTTCTGGCTTCAAATTCTATTAATCTATTTTAGGTAGAAGCTTGATTGTGATTTCAAGCCCTTTGTTATCAGACATTATGAAGTCTAGCAGGTAATTCATTCTTTTACCGTGGGTTCCTCTTTTCCTTTAAGTTCGTTAATATACCAGAAAGACACCTTTAACATCAGGAAAATTCACCCTCGCCTGCAAAGCCCACATAAATAGCAGGAGAAGATAATGAGAGACCCAATGGCCTGCAGCCTATTCTCTCACAGCTGGTGGACTTGATTCAGAACTCACCTGTAGTTTATGCAAGATGTGCAGAGTACCCTTTTACCCATTCCTTAACTGCCCATCCCTGCACATCAAACCTGCAGTAGTTTTGCTGTGCTAGGTGCCTTTCATGCACTGACAATGCAATTTCATGCTAAATGTCTAAATATTAAAAGGAGCCAAGGCAATCATTGCAAGACCTAGAAATATTTAACTTCTAATGCAAAAACGTGCTTCATACATTGTTCCAAAACAAGAGTATGTGTCTTTGGAAATAAATATTTAAAGATTTTCTATAAGGGCCAAGAACAGTAATAAAACCCAGCATATTAACCAAGACAAACCCTGTATTACCTAATAGATGTTTCACCTCTCACATACAGGCAGTCCCCGGGTTACGTACAAGATAGGGACTGTAGGTTTGTTCTTAAATTGAATTTGTATGTAAGTCGGAACTGGTACATATTGTAGGGGAGACTCTAGCCAAACATTTCTCCAGAGCTCAGTTTTATTCTCCCACACCTCACTTCCCTCAGTCCTTTATTCTCAAGCTGAGGTATCTGCTGAGAAAAGCCGCTCCGCGTCTCCCTGGTCTGCTGGGGGGAAGCAGCTAGTGCGGGGTTGCCTCACCCCGTTTATAAGTAGGGATCCGATGTAAGTCGGATCCATGTAACCCGGGGACTGCCTGTATATAACTCATCCATCAAGATGCTTTCATGTATTTAATAGAAAAAAAGTCATTGCAATCAACTGACAAATTTTCTTAGCTTGCAGGTTTATTTTAGGGGAAATTCAATCCTTCTTTTATATCCTAATATCAAAAGCACTGCCCTCCTTTCTCCCTTGGTGGATGCAGAATGACAACAGTCTTTAGAATGGACACATCAGTGGGTGGTTTGGTATGCTAGCTCTGAATGACAGAACCCAGACAGTTTCCAAAGTGTTCAGGAAAGAACAGCCAACTACTATAACAGGTTTAAATGGAGCTACGGCATTTTATACCAGGTAACGGTCTGGCTCCATTGTTATTTACAACACCTAGAAAATTGGAATGGGTGAAAATTGGAAAGTTCTTCAACTGGAAAGAGCTTTCACACAGGAAACAAAAGTTTTTGTGAAACATAAGGATGCATATTTAATCATCAAAATACTCTCTGAACTCTCCTCTGCAAATAGTGCTTTCCCTTAGCTCAGTTGTCATTATTTGATTACATTTTTTCACAGACAGAAAACTCACAATTGGCAAAGCCTCTTTTTTTTAGCCTATTATCCTTCTTCCAAATAAAGTCTCCTCCCTTGCTTCCTCTGATTACCATCATCTTATGAGCGGTGAGGAGTCCTGTGGCATCTTATAGACTAACTGAAGTGTTGGAGCATAAGCTTCCGTGGGCAAAGACCCACTTCGTCAGACATGCATCTGATGAAGTGGGTCTTTTCCCATGAAAGCTTATGCTCCTACACTTCAGTTAGTCTATAAGGTGCCACAGGACTCCTTGCCGCTTTTGCAGATTCAGACTAACACGGCTACCCCTCTGATACTTGACATCATCTTATGGCACCTCACTAATGACTTAGAAAGCAACGCATGCCACTTGCTCTGGATCAGGATAAAAGTTGCTTATGAGGTTAGAATATACGACCCTATCCTTGCTCAATATCTATATCATTCCAGTTACTCCCAAATCAGTAGGGCTGTCAATTCCTGCCAAGAATTAATGGGACATTTCATATTGCCAACCCTATCCTTACTCAATATCTATATCCCAAATCAGTAGGGCTGTCAATTCCTGCCAAGAATCAATGGGACATTTCATATTGCCTCCAAGTACCTTAGCAAGCAGACATCCCCAGGTGTTTTACTCTGGCTATATCTATCTATCTATCTATCTATCTATCAATCAATCAATGAAGGGCATGCCACAGACTAATCATGGAGGCTGTGTCTACACTGTGCCATTTATTCCGGAAAAGCGGCTGCTTTTCCGGAATAACTTGAAAGCTGTCTACACTGGCCGCTTGCTTTTCCGGAAAAGCAATGACGATCTACTGTAAAATTGTCAGTGCTTTTCCGGAAAAACTATGCTGCTCCCGTTCGGGCAAAAGTCCTTTTCTGGAAAAACTATTCCGGAAAAGGGCCAGTGTAGACAGCACAGTAGTCTTTTCCGCAAACAAGCCCCGATCGCGAAAATGATGATTGGGGCTTTTTTCCGGAAAAGCGCATCTACATTGGCCACGGACGCTTTTCTGGAAAAGGTGCTTTTCCGGAAAAGCATCCTGCCAATGTAGAAGCGCTTTTTCCGGAAATACTTATAACGGAAAACTGTTCTGTATCAAGCATTTCCGGAAAAGGGTGGCAGTGTAGACACAGCCGGAGAGTTTTCACATTGAAAGGTGCATATGTGCTACTGCAGGAATTATTACCGGGATCCTGGCCTGAGAGATTAAATCCAAGCTTTGCAGGTTTTTCAGTGATATTGAAGGGAGTGCCATATGCTGTCATCTTGATGTATGAGACATGCTACACAGAACTCCTTGTGTAACCAAATGAGACCATGGAGGAAAGGCCCATAATTTTTTTTAAATGTGCAATCAAAGAGAAATATTTTCACTAGCTCTTCTAAACACCTGCAATTCTATAGGCAGGTGGCAGTAGCTGTTCATACTTACTACATATTTGAGAGAGTGTGTCTGTCTGTGTGTCTGTCTACCTGTCTTTACAAGAATTCCTAAACAATAAGGGGTCGGATCACCAAGTTTGTAAGGCAGCTTCCTCTTATCTTAACTTAAAGCAAGCTAAGGGTTTGGTTGTGCCAGCAATGTAGGCTGTGCCTGGAATGGGATTGCTTCTCAGAAAACCATATAAAAAAAGAGACAGAATCACCAGGCAGATGAAAAGGGCTGGCTGGAGGCACCTCCTCCCTGTCCATGACTGACTCAGCCCTGACTCTCCACCTTCTTAAGCATCCTTTTCGGGGAGGTGGACTGAAGCTTCCACCCCCTCCCCATTCATACGGAAGCATTGCCAGTGATTCCTCTTCATCAGGGAGCAAGGGGAAAGTGCAATTTGTTCCATTGCTCACTCTGGCTGGAGAATGCAAGGGGCAGATGAACCTGTGGGGGACATACACCCCTCCCTGTCTGTGTCCCCTGGCCTCAAGCTGCTGTGTTGTGAGAGGGCTTGGGTAGTCCTCTCTCCCTGGGGGAGCCTGCATATGGACCCTCATCCCCATCCCAGAGCAAGGCTTTAAATGAAGCATGTACATTTTCATTGTATTTAAAAAAAAATCATAAGGATGATTTGTGCATCCAGTTACCATTATGACATGAGCAAATCAGATATTTGCATGTACCACTGGCAAGATAGGGGTGTGAATGACTATTTGCATATCATGGCTGCGATCGTGGTCACTGCTTCCTGTGACTTGGAATTTTTTCTTATACTGATTTGCATCCTTACGTGGGGTTTTTCCACTTCATCTCCCTGGGGTTGTTTTCTTTTTATTTACATGCTAACCAGCTTCTTTAAGGTTAAAGTTAAAGCACTTGTGAGTAATAAATGATAATCTAGTGTCAGCCACTTCTCAGTGCTGAGAGAATTCTTGAACTAAACTGTCCATTTTAATTTATGGCACTACAAGGGTCTCAGACTTGAGTAGCCTTGCTACCCTAACAACCAATGACACCTCTTAGATTTCTGTATTCCAGGTGATAGCATGGTATGTTCTAATCCAGAGCCTTAAAATTCCACCTGTTGTTGCTTACAGGAACTCTGTGTCATTAAAAAGCAGTCACTCTGTAGTGCAGATAAAGTTTGAAAAATCCAGCAGTGTAATGAAATTTGCTTCTAGAAATAAGGAGGGATAAAAGTATTTAGCAAAGCATCATGTTAATCCAGGGGCAGGCAAGATACGGCCTGCGAGCTGCAGGGCGGTGGGTAATATAGGCAAGGGAAGGGCCGGGGCCATGCCATGGCAACCTGGCTCCCTAGCGGCCAGGGAGGGCTTGGTTGTGGGAGGGAGATTGTTGAAGGGGCATGGTCTTGGGAGGAAGGGGTGTGGCTTTGGATGGAAGAGGCAGGGCTTCGGCTAGCCTTCTCTAGCTGGGTCTTCATCCATGGCTCATCCCACAAGCACAAAGCAGCCAGCTGTTTCAGAGCAGCTGCAAACCACTTTAAGTGTCTTGCTTCTCCTTGTGGTTCTCTGTTCCGGGTGCCAGGAGAACAGGAAGGCTTGGCATGCTGCTCCTGCCCCCCCGTAGAAGGCCT